TTATTTGAGGGCTGTCACGAAAACCTGTCAGCAAAATTTTAAGTTAAAACCTCTTGACTAAATGAAAGAAACTGTCACTCAGCTGAATCTTCTAGTCAGACATGAATGTCATATGCTTCTTAAAATGCCTACAGATTAAAAAAAAAAATGTTAAAGGTATTTTCAGATGAGCACATGGTCAGAGGCTGCCCTGATACAATTCTGAAAGTCTCAGTCATGTCATGATCTTGGACCTTGTGTGGAAGCTAACTCCTGAGAAAATTCCACAAATATTTTGTCTGTTGGTCTGCTTAGTTTCAAGAATTCACAGAACCTGTAATTCTAATTGAGTAAACCAAACAACATTACATTTATGTCTTTATAACAGAAAGACAGCACATCTTTTATTGAGACTGCTTGGGATGCAGATAGAGAAAAAAAAAAAGAGCTAAATTGGCTGTACTCCAACTTTGCTACTGCATTATGGAAGGGACGGACAACTAAACAAATGTCTGACAAGCGCACAAGGGATGGTTCTCAAGAGCTGTGGAAAACACCACTAGTTGGCTAAGTCGGGAGAAGAGTCCTACAGGAGGAGGCATTTGAGGTCAGGGAGCCAGCAGAAGATCTGTGGAGATGTGTGCATGGTGCATAGTGGGGAGCTGCAGAAAAGAAGTTGGAGTAGGTTGGGGTCCAACTTATGTGCAATGTTGACTTTTGTTCTATAAATTGGTGAGGTAACAATACAGATTTTTAGAGCAGGACATGACCAGGCTTGAGATATATCTATGTGTGTATATACCCATACACACACACACACATATATATACATACACACAGATATATCCGTGTGTGTGTGTGTGTGTGTGTGTGTGTTTTTTTCTTTTAAGAGATATTTTTGTTATAGGGTGCATGCGCTTGCCAGAGAGACAGAAAGTGAGGTATCAACCCCCAGGGGGATAGCCACACGGCAATCCCTTCTCCTCCATTGTCCTGTCAGGATCTTGGGCACGCACGCACATGCGCGTGGCATGAGTTTTAAGCCACCTGATCCAGGGCTCGAAACATGGTCAACTACGTGAACGTCCAATGACATAACCATCACACCATCTGCTGGCTCCCCAGACTTGCTATTTAAGAACTACATCAGGAGTAGCTGAAGAATTGATGACTTAGTTAAACGCTGGCTAGAAGACTGTTGTAAAAATCTAGAGGAAAGCAAGTCTGAAGGGAGGAAGCAGCCTCGGGTGGAGAAGTCATTTATGAATCCCTGTGCTTTTGAAGAGGTAGCATGCCTTCCCTGGGGAGAAACCATTGACATCCAATCTTGACATTTATACCTGAGTTTTGAAGACATCTGAGGCACATTAGTATGTTTGAGTTATATTTATTTAACATGTGGAAAATATATTAGTTTGATTTAGCAGATACTTATTCAGATTACTTTTTAAATATTTAAGTATGTTAACAAATGATTCTAACAAAGTAATTTTATGTGCCACAGTATTTCAACTAATACATTAAATATATTGCCTCCAGCTGTAGTTTGATACATTTCTTAACCAGTGATAGGATTAATCAAGCTTTCTTCTTCATATATTAAGACAATGTTGTTTATAAAAGCCATAGAACCCATTAACCCAACTCTGAAAGTTTATAAAAATCCTCCTGAAAGGTTTTCACATGATACCCTGAGTAGAATCTTGTACAGGTACTGAAGGGAATCAACTGACTGACAACCAGAAATATAAGACCACCACTAACGAGCAAATTTAAGTCCAGCCATTAGAGCTGGGCTATGGATAATTTGTCCATTCACTCATTTATTGAACACCTGGGCATTATGAACACAAAGATAGGCCAACATGTAAGATCTATTCAAGGGCTTAGCTAGACAACGCAAAAATAGAAAGTTCTAAACCTCAGAGGGCTCAGGAAAGAATTATCTGAGCCCTAATGATTAGGAGTTTTTCAGTCAAACAAAAGAAGAAAAGACATGCCATACATAGGAAATGTGTGCACGAAGTCTCCTGACCAATTTTCTCATTTGGGAAAACTCTGAGAACTAGAAGATAGGATAAGTGGGTGTGATAGTGTAGGATTAAACACTTTATGCCACGCTAAGGAGTCTTGATTTTATCCTATAGGACATGATGAGGCACTGAGGAATTTAATATGGAAGCAAAAGTGACGAGATTTGAATTGTAAAAATATCATGCAGGCTACAGTGTGGAAAAAGAACTCGAGAGTGCAAAGAAAGGCTGTTAGCCCTGAGTGAGACAATCAATTAGAAGGCAGCTCACAACAGTGGAGAAGAGAAATAACACAGACCTGAATCAAGGCAACTGATGCTGCTTGCGGGGTATGGAAACCCCTCAAGCGGGGGTTTAAAGGAGAGTGTAAAGAAGAAACAGGAGATAAGGATGGTTCTAGGTTTCTGGGTAGCTGGGGAAATGGTGTTGCCATAAACAGAAAATATGAGCGGAGGAGCAAATCAGTAAAGGAAAATTATGTTAAATGCACACTAATCTGTGGCATGATGTATCCGCCACAGAGGTGTACCGCTTAGATTAAGAGCACATGCTGGGACCAGCAGTTAGTGTAATGGCTATGCCGCTGGACTGCCATGTAGTCCATCGCGGTTTGCGTCCCAGGCACGGTGGCTTAAACTCACACTGGGCGTGTGTGCGTGCGTGCCCAAGATCCCAAGAAGAGAATGGAGGAGAAGGGATTGCGTCATGGCCATCCCCCCTGGGGGATGATTTCTCACTTTCTGTCTCTCTGTCTCTCTGTCTCTCTGTCTGTCTCTCTCTCTCTCTCTCTCTCTCTGTCTGCACACTGCCTGTAGCAAAAACCTCTCCAAAAAAGAAAAAGAATAAAAAGAGAGAGAGAGAGAGAGAACATGCTCAAAGAACAGTTTCCCAAGAGTGCAGCTGCTGTGCCTTTGGCTCCTCAGAAACCATGCCTCCCTGAAGGGCTGCCTACCTGTGCTAGCCCGTTCCTGTCTAGTGGGCAACTTTTGCCCGGGAACTCTCCATTGGCCTCTCAGAACTGTCGCTGTCAGAGGCTCTTCCCGCACACTCTGGCCTCCTCTTTCTCTCTTCTCCCAGGCTTTAGACCTGCATTGTACTCCAAAGGCTCCCTACCTACTTCTTTCTGTTCCTTCTTGATCTTCCACAAACACTTCCTCCAGAAAATCCCTTGAATGTTTAATCCCACTGTGGCATTTATTTACTTCTTAAAGGACCTAAACTGATACAAGGTGGCATGGAGAATATCAAGAAAGCAGTTGAAGGGACACCTGGGAGACATTGTACTCAGGTTCAGTGGAACCCTGGGTGAGGATGAATCTGCCCCAGACTGCAGAGCCTGGAGACCCTAATACATATGCTATCAGCTGGAGAGGGGTTGCTGGCATGAAGCAGGAAACACAGTATATTTCGGATGTTTCGTGTGGATGAGGTCTTAAACAACTTGGATCATTACAAACATATACAGAGGATGTTTTGGCACTCATCATGGGCCTAATTTTAATCTGGTATAAGTAAGTGACATCCTATAATTTTTGGCTCTTCCTGACAGTGCTGAAATGTGAGAACTGAGCTATGGGTTGCTCCATCCCTTCCAAGCACAAGATACTAAGTATAAAAGAGTTAAGAAGGGAAAAGTCAGTATCCTTCAGCACTTAAGAACTGAGTGTTCCTGTACTGGGTGGAAGGCTTTCCAACAAAACGCCATCTGACTCCTCTCCCATAGCACACACTTAATCCCCTGAGCACTGTGCTTGTGAATACAGTTTTAAAACCAAGCTTTAATTGGTGTATAGATGATTATGGGCTATATTCGTGTTGTAAAATATTTTAATGCTAGTTCTCTCTCAACCTTACCTTGAACTCCTTCCATTTCCTTTGTAATTTGCCCAATTATTGTGAGCACAGTTGAGACCAAGAATCGTTACTAATGGTAGCAAAAATGATGCAATTTTGTTCATAAATGACATAGAAATTATTCCATCTTCATTCAAATCATCTACATGGCTGGATTCTCTAAGTCATTACGACTTAAATGTTTAGGTTTATGAGAATTGCCAAAGCAAAATCATTTGTGTTTAAGCCAGGTAGGCTGCTGACAATTGGGCACACACCCAGCTCTTTTAGCCTAAAGATAAGCTCACCTAGGTAGAAGCCACCTGGTATGCCTAAAAGTAGGAAAATCAGGGCTGTGCTTCTTACAAGACACCTACTGCATATAGGTAAGGAGAGAGAAAGAAAGAAAACAAGATAATTAGGTTTGTATTACAACTCCTCTGCAAAAGCATGGTAATTCTTCTAGTCCATGTCAAGAAGAAATGTCTCCACTTTTTTATCTTAGGACACTGGGGATAGTTACATTATGTAATCCATGCAAAGTCACCCTTGATATTTAAGACGATGTAAAAACTGCTGATCAATAGTAACTACACTGGTAGAATTCAAACTTAAATTTTCCTTTACTTAGAGGTCACATCAATTATGTATTTGTCTCTAATTAATAATCAAAGGGACTGTAAATAAGCTAAAGATGTCTTTATAGCCTAAATGAATCTTTGATCAAACATTAGTTAAAAAAAAAAAATTCTAGTTTTTACACAGAACTGCTTGTATTTCCCTTATAATGTTCTTATCTGAAATAAAATAAGTTGGATATGATGATCATGCATTTCGTATGTAGCACCTGTAGAAAAATTTTTTTCACATCAAAAATAAAGTCTCTAAATACTTACTTAGTATTACTAATTACTTATATTTAATTTATTGTCTGCCAAAATTATCTCCAACATATCATTAGCACCATAGGTAATACAACAGTAGATATTAAATATTATTCAAGATATTTACAGGTCAGCAAACACGAACCAAAACATAACATGCCCTAGCTTCCTTTGAGACATTAATAAACACTGCAAAGGTAAGATTTTATATTCTATTAATTGTTTACTTTATAATTGGTCAAATTGCATAGAGAAACATGAAATGATTTACCTTCTCGAGCTTCTGGATCCATTAAGTGATGAATTAATAATGGATGGCTATAGATCGGTGCTTTCTTGATCATTTCTTGAAAATTAGGCAAAGCACATATTAAAATATCAAATGGTAACAATTAATTCAAAATGTATACTGAGTGCTTATATATTTAATATAGTTAAACTTCAAATATAGCAAACAGAATTGTCTTACAATGTCATATATTAAGCAAGCATGATTAAGAAAGACCATCTAAACACTATGTAGGACAGAACTAAATTAAAGATTTCAAAGAAGTCACTGCTAGAGATAAAAAAACAAATCCTCATTAGAGACTACTCAGCTGCCATAAAGAAATGCACACTCTTCATAGTGACTAAGAAAATAACAATCATATGATTTGAAAGGTAATTAAAACATTGGGAGCAAATGGGTTTCTTCAGTGTAGTGGAAACTACAGTGTTCATCTCAAATGAAGCTGCCCAGTAAAGGCTGCAGCGTTTACTCCTTTCCAACAGTGTCATTTGCATGTCAATGTCAAACAGCCTTCCCTGATGTGGTCACTACACACTGTATACATGACTTGGGGGTGGGGACAACCACTGTACCCCATAAATAGGAGCAAATACTATGTCAATTTTAAATTAAAATATTGTTTAAATTTTCATACAAAAGCAACACAACCTAACCTCCGAATAGTCTTCTGAGTAACTTCTTTCTACCTTAAAAAAGTTCATACCATTTCAGCAAACAGATTTATAACTGAAGAAATTATTTTATGCCTCTCAAATAGAACAGATAAAGAAGCTTATAATATTCAAACTTTAGAAAACAATGATTTGATGTTTTACTTCTGATCTGGGGCTCAAATATATAATCATTGCACTACCATAAATTAATATAGCACTCCTTTCTTCTAAAGTTCCCAAAATACTTTTCACAGCCACCACATTTTTCTTTACAGCATGTCTCACTAAGTTAGTAGACAAATTATATTTTCCCTGCAGTTTACAAATGAGGAAAAGGTTAAGTTACATTACAGAAGTCAAACAGCTAAAACAATAGCAGATGAGGTCACACATTTTGCTCCCAATGTAGTATTTCTTCCACTATAAGAAACGATCTTTACTAACATGTCTGCCTAAAGACGAGTATTTACAAAGTGGTAATCTGGACATACCTAAATGAGTTAGCTGAGTTTCTGGAAAGGTTAAGAAGTACCATCCACAACTTTTGTTTTACTGCTGAGACCTCTGGTAGTGCCTGAAAGGCCAGCACCGAGCATACAGTGACTACTGTACACACTGGCAGCAAGTCCAAGCAGAAGGAATGAAGATCCTGACAGCTGCCGCGTCCATGCCTCTGGTTATCCACCATGAGGCTGGAATGCCCGTAACCAAGGCGGCTGAAGAACCACAGGAAA